GGGGGGGGGGGGGCTAAGTGGCCTTGTGGCAGGAGGCAGGGCAGAGAAGAGCTCGCACACCCAGAGAAAGCGGGTGCCGGACGGCATTGGGGTGAGGACCCACGGCCAGTGGGGCTCCCTCCCCTGAGGAGATCTTGGCGGAGCTCAACCAGAGAGAAATGGGGGTCCAAGCTCATCTCAACCAGAATGGAAACTCCAGTCTCTGGTGGGCGTCTTAGTTTGGGCTCCCCCAGGAGCAGACCCTGAGACAAAGATTTGAGTGTGTTAGTTGATTTGCGAGGGGGAGAAAACACCTCGAGGGGCTCGGGGGAAGTAGGACAGGAAGGGCGTGATATGCAGGTGGCCCCTGTGGCTGAGGCAGCTTAATCCCACTTGGGGGACTCCAGGAGCCAGGGGTATAAAGCCCACTCCTCTTCTGAGCCAGTCTGCTCCCGGGGTACTTAGGCACCTTCTTCGGCTTTCCCCTCAGAACCTCCTGGAGCCCCACCCTGGAGGAAATTCTGCTCCAGGAGGTCTGGAGTAGGGCTGAGAATGTGCATTTCTTACAAATTCCCAGGAGGTGCTGATCCTGCCCCTACAGGAACCACACAGTTGAGAACCACTGAGTTACCATCTCAGGGGTTCGCATTTAAATAAAGCTGTTCAGTGGGTGAGAAACGGGGTGGGAGAGATATTTGGTCCAGCCTGATCATCAAGTTAATTCCTATTCATCCTCCTCTGTCCCCCCACCCACCCTGCAAATCCCGGTGGACCAGGAGGAGACTATATTAACACTCTTTCCCCCTTTTCTGTCCTTCCTTCTAGCTTCTGTATTTTCTCCAGGCTAGAAATACCTTCTCTTTAACTGCAAGAGGGACTTAACATTTTTTTTCTCTGTTGAGATTTTCTTTGTGACTGGTATTATCGAGTTTTGTAAACGTTCTATATACACTTGAAAAGACCCCCCCCACACACACACTGTAATCATGGAATTGAATTCCTGCCAGACATCAATTTTGTGTATTTAGATAGTCTACGAGTTTATTTTCTTAAGGCTTTTTGATGATGGTGTTTTCAAATCTCCTCCTACGATGACTTTTCCTTCCCATGTCCCTAATAATGCTTGATTTCTGTATCTCGTCAGTTTCTTTGGTAACTGTAGATTCGTGTCTGTGTGGTTTCATCGTTAGTGGTGGCTATCACCCTGATGTAATACTCCCTTTATCTTAAAAGCATACTTTTTTCCTTGCCTCGAATTGAGTTCATCTAACCTTAATATTGTTATCCCTGCTTACCTTCTGCTCAAGTTTGATTAAACCATTTTTCCCCAGCCTTACTGTATTTTCCGATCTTAAAAGTAATGTGTGCTCTCTTTGTAGGAAACTTTGAATGTATCAAAAGGTAACTGGAAAATACAAATACCGCAGAGAGTAACTGAAGGCAACTATTCATTCCCCCCTG